ACGGCTGGCAGGAAAATTGACGTTTTAAACCTTAATTAAATATCGATACAGGACTTTAGAATATCGATACAGTATCGGGAAATGAAATATCGCAATATTTCAGTGTATCGATATTTTCTTACACCCCTACTGTCCAGGTGAACCTGAGCCTCTGAGTCTGGGTTTGGTGTGAACCGTGACGCAGTAATCAGAGACTAAATGAAGCTGAATCAACAAAAAAAAAGTGTTTTCACTCAATTTTACACTGATTCTGACAGAAGGAGTGTAAAAAGATATATATTTAAAAATCTTTTTGAAATAATTCGATTGATTTCTTTCACCTCCTGTGTTTCAGACTCGGCAGCAGTTCAAGTCGACCAAAGACCAGGTGAAAAACCCGTCTGACTCAGGTGAGCAGAAACTTTAAGTCGACGCTCGATGAGTTCATAAGCCACGCCCCCTTTCCCTCTGCTGCAGAGACAAAGTGACGCAGCTGGGACACTTCCCTTTCATTTGAAATGTTTTCTTAAATTTAAAACAGTTTTAGTTCAAAGTGAACTCAGTTTGTGTTCAGAGTTTGTTGAAGGTTCGGCTGTTTTCAGTCTCTGACTGCAGAGACACTAAATGAAATGGATAAAAAAGTATTTTATGAATAAAAAAGAAAGATGGAAACCTTTCTCTGAGCRTCGTCTTTATAAACGAATCAATCCTGGAAGGTTGGAGTGAAATCTTCCATTTGTCTGGACTCTGTCTTCCTGTCAGGAGCTGTCCCAACGTGTGACGAATGTTCAGGACATGTCAACGCTTAAAATATTTAAAATCATCTGTTCACAGTCTATCTGCAGGCTGTAAAAATATTAAAAGGTATTAAATCAAATAAGCAAAAATGAAAGCCATTAAAAAGTATTAAAAGGTAATAAARGCCATCTTACGAAGTATTGATTTCTAAACAACTATCACACTTTACAAATCTGATTTAACAAACATTTGTCTGGGCCTATCTAAGACACAGCTGTAACTTTAGACAGGCCTACTGGCCAATCAGAAATAGTGTGGGGGCGGGACTTAAGTGTCTAGTAGCAGAAGTTGGAGCGGTGTTTAATAAAATATATTCATCAGGACAAGTCTGAAAAAGCACATTTGTTTGAACAAAACAAATGTAAATTAAAACTGTCTCAGATTTTTTTTCCACAAAACTCTCAGGGAGAGCGTTCTCTATGAAGTCAGTTTTATGTGTTTGTAGATAAATATGAGCTCATTTAAATCCTACACTGTGTTAAAGTATTAAAGGCTTTAAAGCTGCTGGATGTAGTTTCTTGGAAACCCAAAAAACTTAGAAAAATTTTGAACAGAAACAACGTTGTAGTCCCTCCCCCTGCTCTCAGCTCCCCTTCCTAAGCTCCTCCCCCACATCAGGGCCCAGAGTCGGGAGCAAACAGGAGGTGATCCACCGTAACACACAGAGCTCAGAGCTAAGCTGCCGTCACAGGTAAGAACAAACCATCAACAAAATATTTTTAACTATCATGTTTTGCCCATACTTTATTACACAAGTGCTCCTTTTGTCATAACGTTACATGTAAATTATGTTGCACTCTTTCTATAAGTAATAAATAGCTATCAAGCTAACACAACACCGATGCTGCGCAGTGGTTCT